GGGGGAAAGGAACATATAATCTATAAATATGACAGTTACACTGTGGTTTCAAGTTACACTATTTGTTTTTTTTTTTTTCTTCTTCTTCTTCAGGAACTCTCTATGTAGACCAGGTTGGCCTCTATCTCACTGAGATTGGCCTGCCTCTGCCTCTGAAGTGCTGGAATTTATACTTTAAGAAAATCAATTATTACACATTTCCTAAAGTTGAAGCATGTCCATCTTATATGAACTTAGATTTCATGCAAATCACATGAACAAGTAGATCAGTAAATTTGGGTCTCTGGAAAATTCTTGAAATAGATCTTTCTATATTCTACCTGATGTTTGCTTGCTTTTCCCTCCAAATATTGCATGTAGCTTCATGGACCAGTCTGTAGTTTAACCATTAGGCCTAACGGCTCAAAAAGATGTCTACCCCCTACAGTTAATAAGCTTGAATATGTAGTCAATCCTAACATTCTTTGTTTTGCCCCCTACTTCTCAATAAGTATCCTGTTATTCCATTATGTACTTCGATTTTCTTTCAAGCAAAGAAGTTGGCATAGTTAATGTTACCTTTCAGATAAAATGATTAATGAATAATTAGCAGGCTCTCTTGAACATCACTCACTAAAAGTCTTTAATTGAAACGTAAATGACTCCTGTAAGAAACCTTAGTCAAATTTCAGCAGCATGGTCATTTCACCACATGGAATTCTCAGATAGTGTATGAAACCATAATAGCCCCTGTCTTCTTACTCAGCTCACCATTTAACTTCTCTAGCTCTAAAAAATAATAGTAACAATCTTTTGTTTGTTTGTTTGTTTTCATTTAGTATAACAGAAGAGAACTATAATTTCCTGCCACAGAGCCCTTCCAAAAAGGATTTTGAAGGAAAGAGTGGAACAAAAGTTAGTCGGACCTTCAGCTACATCAAGAATAAAATGTCCAGCAGTAAGAAGAGCAAAGTAAGTATCTTCTGGGCATTCTTTGTATGCCCACCCTCAATCACCTTTTAGCCATCAATAAGTTCCTGTCATCACCTGCATATACCCCCAAACTATCTAAATGCTGGGGAGATAAATGGAAATAAATTTAGAGGTACTCTGAAATAGTCCAATATTTGAAAGAAAATAACAGTAATACAAGCAGCAACAAGAGGCATTGCCGCTTTTACTATATGCCAAGCGTTTCCCATATGTCACCGTATTTAAGCCTTTTAGGAACCCCGTGAGATACTGGTCTTTATCCTTTCTTTAGGGAGTACTCTGTTTAATGTGGAAAAGCTCAAACCCAGATCTTTTTGGTCTCTTCCCATACACTAAACTACAATGCATAGATTATTAAGTCAGGTTTAAAAGTCAATGGAAGGATTGTATGCTAAGATCAAAGGATTGAAAATACATGTAATAGTTGGGTATAGAGGGAAGAAAATCATGCCACAAAAAATTTTACAAGACTGACTTAGATCTATTTCTACTTAGGAACATTTGTAGTATAGCCTTTTTAGAGCTTAAGAAGTTAAATTAAGATATGTAAACCCAGTCTTAAAACTTAGTTGTAATTGCATGTTCATTACAGGATTCTGTAAAACATGAAATAAAAATTCATAAGCCTACATAGAAATAACTAGTCCCAATATTTTTATTTATTTTTAATATTTTTTCCAATATATTTTATTTTTTATTTTGTGTAGATTAGTGTTTTGTGTGCATGTATTTAAGTGAACTGTGTGCACACAATGCCTGCAAAGATCAGAAGAGGACATCAGATCCCCTAGATCTGGAGTCATAGGTGGTTGTGAGCAGCCATGTGGGTGCTGGAAACAACCCAGGTCTTCCTCGAGAGCAGCTAGTGCTCTTAACCCCTGAACCATCTTTCTAGTCCCTTTCCAATATATTTTAAAAAGAAAGAAATGAAGTTAACTTACTTATACTGATTTTCAAAAGTAAATCAAATCTATTTTCATTTCAAATTAGTGGTATGTACTCCTGTATACCTTCTCATACACAGAAACAAACGAACAAAAATTTTAAGTTAGTTTAAAAAATTCAAAATCAGGGATCTTTTTCAGGAAATTGCTGAATATATCTGTAGTGTATATATACATAAATAAAAATGTGTATACGTATACATACAGAATTACATACTTTGAAGTAAACACTGACTTCAAGAGCATTTTTATAAAAATGTACCCCCGCCAAGCCTTTCAGGCTGTCATTAAGTGGGCTGATGGAAATACAGCCAACACACCTTACCAGGTTTGTTAGCTCTGTTACTGAGACAAATTGCCTGAGGTGGTCAGCTTCATAAGGAGGAAAGATTGATTTTGGTTGCAAAGGTTTCCTAGCCCTGCTGCATTGGGCCTGTAATAGCATAGCACCCCATGGTCATAGCATGTGCTGGAAGGCAGCTTTGAGAAGGGGCTAGGGCTGCACAATCTTATCATATGTGTACACCTTAGGAAGTTAATTTCTATCTACTAGGCCCAACTCCTGTATGTTTCTCAACCTCTGAATAGCGCCATAATCTAGGAGCAAGCACAGGGCCCTTGGGGAGTGTTTACCAGCATGTATTAGTTGCTTTTCTGTTGCTGTGATAGAAACACCATGACCAAGGGAACTTATAAAAAGAAGAGTTTATTTAGCTTATGGTTCCAAAGGGGCAACAGTCCATCATGGTTGGGAGGCATGGTGGCAGAGGTGGCTGGAGTAGGAACAGAAGCTAAGCACTCACATCTTCAAGTAGGTACAGGAAGCAGAGAACAACTGGAGATCTGACAAGGCTTAAGAACTCTGACAAGGCTAAGAACTCTATAAGCCTGCCCCCAGTGACATGCTTCCTCCAGTATGGCCATACCTTCTAAGACCTACCAAAACAATAGCACTAACTGGGGACAAAATGCTCAAATACTTGGAGCCTATGGGGGACATTCTCATTCAAACCACCATACCAGCCAAGCCATGATACCAGATTTTGTAAATTAGATCTCTTTTACAAAATAATATCATCATTACTCAGAGGAATTTTTTGTTGTTTTTGTAAGACAGGGTCTGTGCAGCCCCAGCTGGCTTGGAACTTGCTGTGTAGAGCCAGGCTAGCCTCAATCTCCCGGAGATATGCCTGCCCCTACCACCTGAGCACTGGGATTAAAGGTGTATGCTACCATGCCTGGCTCAGAGGAACTTTAATGATGAAACCCTTACACTAAAAAATCTGTTTTTTCATTATTTCTCCTACCAAGTATGGAATGGAGAGTTCAGCTAATCATTTCTAGTATAATCGTTTGTATAAATAATAGCTTTGGGTCTGGAGAGATGGCTTACTGGTTAAGAACACTGGCTGCTCTTGCAGAGGACCCAGGTTAAATTCTCAGCACCCACATGGTGGCTAACAACCATCTGTAACTCCAGTCCCAGGGGATCTGACACCCTCTTCTGGCTTCCTTATCCATTGCACAACATAGGTATACTTACATACATAAAAGCAAAAGACTCATACAGATAAAAATAAACATTAGCTTCATAATTAAGCTTGTTTTAGAATTTAAAAAAAAATAAAGTCAAAGAGGATAGAATGCTTACCAGTATCCCACTTAATTGGCAGTGATAAAACAAGATCTGTTCTGCTTATTCTGCTTACTTGAATGGTTATTGATACCAACAAAAAAAAATACCCTTGGAAAAAACAATGTAAATTAGCCTTGTATTATTGAGTGGGTTCTATATTTTCAGTAGTCTGCAAGGTATTTATAAGCTTTGAAAATAACTAAAACTCACAGTCTTAACCTTGAAAGAATTTTATGAATCTAATTTGGATTATTTGGAAATGTTTCTCTTGGTGGTTTTGTTTTCAAACTATACAATCTTATCTTCAAACCAATATACAAAATTATAAGACCAATAAGGAGTAGAATTTTCTTTCTATCCGTAGCATAGATTTTATTTTATTTTGGGTTTTGGTTTTTTGGGACAGGGGTTCCCTGTACTATTACCTAGCCTGGAACCCACCAGAGTGGCCTCCATCTCCCAGACATCCACATGCCTCCACCTCCTGAATGAGTGCTGGGATTAAAGGCTTGCACCATCATGTCTGGCATTATGGATTTTCTTGAACCACATAGTGAATATTATGTGTGCATACTGAATAAGCTTGTTGAGGAGGTAATGCAGACTTTGAAAAGTTAATGTATTAAGACCTAATTTAGAAAGTGGAACCTGACCTTCAAAAAAAAAAAAAAAAGACTTACCCCAACTTCCTTATTCTGTAAACTAAAGTACAGTAAAGTATTTCACGTCTCAGAGCTAGATAAAATTCAGGGAGACCTGTTTGTGGTACAACTTTTTGACCATAGTACTTGTCTTTGCATGCTGACTCTTCAGCAAAATAGTTACTATATGCTGTCTTTTTTCTTTTCTTTCTTTAAGGTGTTTGTTTTAGTCTCAAAAGTACTAGAATTATCTAAAAGGGAGGAATGGGTGATGAGACAGAACAAGAAAAAAGACTGTATTAGAGTGAAACATGTCATCACTGTTGAAGTGTACCAGTTGACCTCTCGCCTCTGCTCTTCTTCTTAGTCAAGATGACAACACTCTTTTGCAATTGAGCTTGGTTCCTCTTTCAGAGGTGGCTTCAAGATATTTGATCTTTGAGGGCCATGCTGTCTCTAACAATGGACACTCAAAAAATTGCAAATTCATAGCTTGGATTGCAGTTCATTTCCCTTTATCAGATGTTTAGAATGCCCCAGTGACCAAGCCTATGATTAGCATGTCATCTTTATAGTTAGTGGTTGTTAGCTAACTTTTAAGTAATATTGCTTTAGAAGCCACTGTAGAACATTGTGACTTAGTATAGGCAAATAAGAGGGGAAATTGTCATGTATCTACAGTACCACAAAAATAAATGAATATTAATCTTTTTCTCAAGTGCTGAATATTGTTTCCCATACTGTTTTTAAAAATTGAAAGTGGGCTGCAGAGATGGCTCAGCAGTTAAAAGCACTTGCCTCTCTTACAGAGGACCAGGATCCAGTTCCCAGCATCCATGTGGCAGCTAACAGCTGTTTTTAAAAATTGAAAGTGGGCTGCAGAGATGGCTCAGCAGTTAAAAGCACTTGCTGCTCTTACAGAGGACCAGGATCCAGTTGCCAGCATCCTTGTGGCAGCTAACAGCTCTCCATAACTCCAGTTCCCAGGGGATCTGATGCCCCCTTTTTGCCCCTGGGGGCACTGCACACATGTGGTACATGTAACATAGATCCAGACAAAACACTTGTACACATAAAATAAGTAAATAAAAATCCTGGATTCTGAAGTCATGCTGACCTGGAATTTTTTAAAACATGAAAAAGATACTGTAGATAAATTTTCACTTTTAACTTGTTTGGGGCTTTTTCCTTTTGTTCTTCAACCTTTGTTTCCCAGTGCTGTACATTCTAGGTTCGTGTTCTACCACTGAGGTATATCTGCAGTCCATGGGTTTTTAAGACAGGGACTTGCTGTATAGTTTCAATTGGCCATGAATTCAGAATCTCCTGCTTCTGCCAAGTGCCAAGGTTATTAGTTTTTTTCAAAAGCATCTTATGAGAGATCATCTCATCTTGTTTCATTCAGCTACTAATATATAGCCACACCTACTTCTTTTAAAGGAGAAATTTAAGCATTTACTGAATATTATAGTGATACCTATAATTTTTATTTGAGACTTGTTTGGAAATTTTTGCTTTCTGTATAAGTAGGTTGTATATGTATTTATATGAAAATATCAGGGCTGGAGAGATGGCTCAGTGGTTAAGAACACTGACTGTTCTTGCAGAAGAACCAGGTTCAAATCCCAGTACCCACATGGCAGCTAACAACTGTCCATAACTCCAGTTCCAGGGCATCCAACAGCCTCTTCTGTCCTCAGCAGGCATTGCATGACATGGATGCACTTACTTACATGTGGGCATAACACTGATACACATAAAATAAAAATAATAAATAAAATTTTAAAAAGATAAGAAAAGAAGTCAAACATTGTGGCGCATGCCTTGAATCCCAGCACTTGGGAGGCAGAGGCAGGTGAATCTTTGTGAGTTCGAGGCCAACTTGGTCTCCATAGTGAGTTCCAGGACAGCTAGGGCTACAGGGAAACCCTGTCTCAAAAAGACAAAAAGAAAAGAAAATAACACAGATATATATTCTACTTGTGACCATCAGCAGATTTAAATATTCAAAGCAGCCCAAAGCTATCAGGCAACAAATTGTTCACATTCCTGGATAATAATGTATTGCCTTAAAGCACTAGGCATTTGTGTATATAATTTTTAGATAAGAAATTGAGTTACAAATCCTGCACATGTGCTTTTGAAAATTATCAGTAACTTGGAAAAGTTACCATATAAATATATTGCATGTTTTTTAGAAAGTTGAGGAGAGCCCAACCAGGAAGACTAGTAATTTCTCCTTCCTCACAGTATCTTTGAAAGGTAGTCCTGCTTGCTACTCAGTAAACTGTGCTTACTACAATTCTTTAAGCCCTCATATGCATAGTGCTCACCTTTATAAAGGAGTGATCTTTAAACCACTGATTCTCTTTTTTCTATTGCTTTCAGTTTTTTACTATTTTATCATTTTTATTTTATGTGTATGAGTGTACTGTGTGCACATAGGTGCACCCGTGTTGTGCAGTGATCGAGGAAGTCAGAAGAGGTCAGATCCCCTGGCATTACAGACCATTGTTAGCAGCCATGTGGGTGCTGGGAATCGAACCCGGGTCCTCTATAAGAGCAGCCAGTGCTTTTAACTGCTGCCATCCCTCCAGCCCCTTAAGTTTTCAGTTTTTCAAAGATAACTAGAAGATACTTAGAAGTGTTCTTAGTTAGACTCAAAGAAGCTATTTTTTGCATTCAATGCATTTAATTCCTGTTCAGCTCTAATATACTACTTAGCTTTATAGCAAAACATTCGACTCCTAGTTTCTGTGCCCTATATAGAAAAGAAAGACTATACCCTTCATCCTTCCTAGGTGCCTGGAGAGTAGATTACTGTTTCCAAAGGGTTAAGTGGGTGCTAAATATAATTCTTTCATTTCTTCTTTTAATTAAAGATATGCACCTTGACAGCTATGTAATACCATCAGGTTTCCATAGTTGTTCAGAATGTACTGACTTCTAAAAATTTTAGTTACTTTTCTAAAAGGATACATAGGTTTAGAAAAATGAAAATTTTCATAGCATCCTAGTGTCGTTAGCATTTTCATTTTTTTAAATGCTCTAGATTCTTTTTCCACAGCACAGTAAAAGCATTTTGGCAGTTGTTACGTATAGATGAATCAAACTTCAGAAAAATAACCAGTCACCATTTTACAACATAGACAGCTTCACTACAATATTTTCTTATAAAAGTTTGCTTTATTATGTAAATTAGAGTTGGTTTTTAAGTAGATATGTCCCTTAACTTACAGTGTTAAAGATGTAGCCTTGGAACTAGAGAGCTGGCTCAGTGGTTAAGAGCACTCGATGTTCTTCCAGAGGACCCAGGTTTGGTTCCCAGCACCCACATGGCAACTAACAACTGACTGTAACTCCAGTTCTAGGGGACCCAGTGTCCTCTTCTGGCCTCTGCTGGCCACTTCATGTATGTGGTCCATTTATAAACATGCAGGTAAATACACACACATAAAATAAAAAGTAACAAATAAATTTTCTAAGGTGTAATCTCAATTCTTGCCAGATCTAGCATATTGCAACAGAAGCACTGTCAACACCACACCATATTCTGAAGTTCATTTTCTTTGCTTCCTGTGTCTTTTAAACAACAGTAGTTTGCTTTACCAGCAGTGTTCAAATAGTTAAGACTGCCTCAAGGAAGCAAGCGGCCTCAGCCCTCCTCCCTTCTCCCCTTTCTCAACCAGTCTCTGGCTTCCTCTTACGGTTTTTGCTAATGGCAGACCTAAACTACTGAGCTCTGCCCCTGCCGGCATGCTCCCCTCCTTCTGTGAGAGCACATTTCCTGGCATGGGGGTTGAATCATGTCAGTAAAATGGGGTCGGCTTCCTGAAGTTCCGCTCATAACAGTGCGATTGACAGGACTAAAACATGGGGAGGTAAGAGTCTAACTTCTTTAAAGCACTGAATTGTAATAAACAGAAGAAGCCAATGCAATTTGTTGTTTTGCTTTTGTCCTTGGAAGAACGAGTTTGGATTATTGCACTGGATGATAAAATTATCATTTATTCAATTTTAAAGAGTATTACAGTGCTTCAGAGAATAACCTAGCTACCATAGAAACTTGTAGGATTTTTTTTTAAATGTTGCCTCATGCTTTTAACCTTTCAAGAAAAAAAAAGTCAGTTTCAACTTAGCCATTTATGCATAAATAAATCTACCAGAATTTAGGTAAAGGAGTTACTTGTATAAGCTCAAATTTTGATCATTAGAAATGTGTGTATTTTAGCAGTTAGTAATTTTTTGTTCAGTGGAGTTTCCTGTTTTGTAAAGTGAAGTAGTTCCCCCCCCATCCTTTCTGTTTTTAATAGCTTAAAAATGTAGCAGTTTGACTTTTCAGGTTTTGTTATATGTATTTTGTTAACAAAGGATTTCACATGAATCATAGATGTGACAAATGCCATCATTTTGGTATACTGGATGAGTTTTCTACAGAAAGCCTGAAGGCTGAGTTCTCATTTGGTGCTGATCACTGCTTTGTGACCTTTGAGGACTCAAGGAACCTCTCCAGCTTCTGGCAGTTAAGTGTGGCAAATGAGAGCTGAGCTGTAGTCAGCCAGAACTAGGACAGTTCCAGTGTAAGCAGTTGTTGCTATGCACTCATAAATGCATTACTAAACATCTCTAAGCTTTGGTCTCCAGTTATATAAAATGGAGATAATGAGAACTCTAATTCATTGGCTTGTTCTGTGAAAATGCATAAATTACTTATTTTATTGTTGACACATAGTAACTATTTGGCATTTTAACTACTACTTGTTATCATTTAAATTATAAAATGGGAAGCATAATGCTCACTTTATGTACTTCAGAGTTAGTAAATCAATTTAGATAATCTCCACAGATAGCATTGACTATTTATGTTTAGTAATTGTGATCCATCACTTTGGGGAATTCATTTCTCAGATGTTTTTGTAGATTACAGTAATAATATGTGACAGTAAATGAAACTTGCCTCTATGAATTTTAGTGCCTCATGGTCCAGTCAGTTTGAAAGGGAATTATTCCATTGATCTTGATTAGTTAGCTGAACATTGAACAAAAAGTTTTGAAAGGACCTTTTATGGAGAGCATGCTCCCCATGATCTTGGCTTCTTAAAGCATGGTGTGAGCTGGAAGTATTCCTCACTGTTTTAGATAGTTCACTAAGTGTCAAGTACTCTTCAGTATTAAGTTTTTAAGGTTTAAATTATCCCTCTTGCTTGTGTAAATTCTGATAACCCCTCTTAGATTGAAACTGTCACATGAAAGCCTTCTGCTTTTGGTCTGCCTCCAAGATTGCTAGCATTCCTGTATTGCCTTGTAGTGACAGTTCTGAGCACTCTAGTAGTCAGAGCTTTTGCCTCCCAGCCAGACCCCCCTTACACAGTCTAAGCTCTCCTTTTCTGGTGTTCCTAAGCTCTGTTCTTGGCCCTTTTGTAGTCTCTTCAGTCACTAGAAAGCACCCAGTATAGTGGCTAGGCATGCAGTAAACATGAGGTGATGGTCAGTTTCCCTTCCCTCTTACAGGTGAGGGATGACCTTAGTAATAATAGAAGAAAGCTCTGCTGTGGAGATCACAAGATCTTGGGAAGCCTTGCTTTTCAAACTGGAGACACAGCTTGCTTTTCCTATCTCACTAAGACAGAGGAATGAATAGCTAAGCCTTGGGGATTTTTTTCCCTGGGTCCCAAGTCTTTTGAAAGGAAATGACAACTGTGGTAGCTAGCTTCAAGAGATAAAGAAGTCGTTTTGGGAAAGTTACTGACAAGACTTCTTGCTCTTGTCTTTTCCATACCTCTTCTCCCTGCTCTGCACTAGTTCTCAGGTTTTTGGTTTTTTTTCTTCCCACCTTAGGTTAAAATTTCCTTCACTACAAAAGATTGTATTCTTATGTTGTTAGGAGAGTAAAAAGCTGATGAAACTTATTTTCAGTTGAGGTATGAATAATTATTCTTATTCATTAAATGTACTGACTACGTGCTAGACTTTACATATATTGTCTCACCTTATTTAAAAAAATGACAAAATGTTTACCTATCCTTTGTTTGCAAATGAAGAAACTGGGGCTCAGAATTTTCCCAAAGTCCCTCTGTTAATATAACTTTGACCTGACTTCATTCTTCATTTTTAATGCCTGTGTAGTTTTCTACCTTCCTTCTTTTAGCAAGCTTTTGTCCTCATTTGAACACTGAGCCCAAGTTAATACCTAATTGTTATTCTTCTAAATTCTAATTATTAAAAGATACATACAAAGTTATTTAATAGTTCTAATCAGAGTGCAAGAGAAAATATCATAGAGACCCCTTACTCAGGAATATGCAAGTAATAAGTAAAAGAGAGGAGCCTCACAGTAATTTTTTACTCTGCATGATCAGCTTTCCTCTCAGGCTGATCCCAACATTGCCACCATCCTTTTTTCTTTCTAAACTGGCCCTAAATTCATTGCCTCCTATGTGGAGTATGTATGCTGTTGCTTACTAAGAACACCTCTTTCTGCTGCAGACTCTGTCCAGTGTCTGTTAGCATAAATAACCTCCGACTGTGCCACTACCACAACTTGTATGCTTTTTCTAATGGTAACTTACATGATCACACATTAATAAGAACACGTTTCTCAGAACATTGTTCCTCATTTTCTATCCGCAATAGTCTCCACCCACTGTTGACCACGTACCATCTGCATGTCCAGGTAAGGGGAAGGCCTTCCAGTGTTTAGTTAACTGTTGATTATTTTCTTTGGCAGGAAAAGGAAAAGGAAAAAGACAAAATTAAGGAAAAAGAGAAAGATTGTAAAGACAAGGAGAAAGATAAGAAGACTGTTAATGGTCACACTTTCAGTTCCATTCCTGTTGTGGGTCCCATCAGCTGCAGCCAGTGTATGAAGCCGTTCATGAACAAAGACGCCTACACTTGTGCAAGTAAGACATTCTTCTTCCTCTCATCAGATGAGGCTTTCTTACTTCAGGAAAGCTGATTGTTTCTAGTTTCCTGTCTATCCCACCCCTAATCTGTTCCTCATTTATGTGGAGAAGTAATCCTGTTTGTATTTTTCTTAAATATCAGTAAGGGAATTAAATTTGTTGTGTAACATAAAACCTATATTTTTTTCAGATGTCCCCAGTTTCAGATACTGTTTATAAGCCACTTTCTATTCCTGAAGTCTGTGACAAATCAGAACAATACATAGCTTCTGACCATAAAGCTGCCTAGATCCTTTGTCACATTATATACATTTATTTTTATATATCCCTTTCTGCCCCATTCAGAGGATCAAAATCAAGGCCTGGTATAGGCAAGCAGTCTTATTTCTGAGTTTATCCCTAGTCCTTGTATGATTATTTTAAAATCTGCTCCTTTGGAATATGCTTCAGCTATTTGCCAGCATTAAGTCATGATGGCTACCCAGCAAGAATGTCAGCATGTACACAAATGTTCCATAATGACTCATTACTGATCTGCTGGAAGTCACCTTAAAGACAAGTCTGTTAACTGAGAGTGGTCCCTGGCTTTGATAAGGTAATATCAAGCAAGAGTCAGTTGACTTTCTTAGTCAGTTGACAGGACTTAGATGACAAGTATCTTAGGTGTGGTGGGCCATCTGGTTTGTGCACAACTACTGAATTCTGTGGTTGCAACAAAAAAAGCAACCATAGAGACATGAGGAGAAAGGCTTTGTTTCAGTAAAGCTTCATTTACAGGCACTGACATTTACATTTGTGCATGTTGTGTAATATTCATCTTTTCAGTACTTTTCAACCATTTGAAATGTAAAAGCCACGTGTAGCTCATGTGCTATGGAAAAGCAGACAAAAACCCAGATTTGGCACACATATTATATTTACAAATCTTCTCTAAGGCAGTAATTCCCCAAACTGAGTCATTAAACTTATATAAAGTAATATTGTAAAGCATACTAAGATAAATCAAGGAGGCTTCCTCATTCAGAGATGACCACTCTGGAAATCAGCTAACCCAGGCCTATCACAATCAACCAGAAGGCTATGGTGATTTGCCTCCTATTATAGATATAACAAATCCAGACAAAAACGTAAGTAATTCAAAGGAGCACGTCTCAGACCTGATGTCATGTTGTCTTGTTTTCAGTAATTTGTATTGAGCATCCCAAGTAATGTTACTAAAAATATCTAATTTACTGAAATTGGAAACCCTCAGAAGTTTACTTGGCAGATTCAAAGTTTTATGATAATGTTGACTTACTTGCTTTTTTTTTTTTTAATACAAAAGAGGTGAAGCTACAGCTAGTAAAAAACCCACAGCCTATTTTACCTATGTGACACCCATTATAATTTATAAATGGCTGCCTTGTCACTCACATTCTTGTAAAATTAATCTTATAGATAGACTATATCCCTAAAGTAACCCAAGGCCTATTTATCTTACTCTTTAAGAAAAGGAGGTGGGACTTGGAAGCATTTACCTAACTTTCTATGCGTTCTTCTAGGTAGAGATTGTACCATGTGTGACTATTGCCATGTCTTACCAGAAAACTTCTGGCACATAGTACTGAGTTTCAGGAAACTTTAGGAAACAAGAAACTAACTCTGTCAAGTGTCCCTCCAGTGATTTTATTTGGGGACCCAGATTGTAATTGGATTCCTTCTGAAGAGTCATTCAAATGTCAGCAGTGTTGTTTCTTACTCCATGGAGTAAATAATCTGCTTCTCATAACTGGAATTAACTTTGTTGCCTACAGCAGGAGTCACAGAGCAATTCTTACCATGTTATCTGCCATTAAAACATTTTTAGCTTATTGATCCAGGGAATTTTCTAAAATTTATTCTTATTTTATATGTATGAGTATTTTCCCTGCATTTAAGTGTACCTGTGTGCAGTGCCTGCGGAGGCCAGAAGAGGGTGTCAGATCCCCTAGAACTGAAGTTACAGGTGGTTGTTAGCTGCCATGTGGGTACTAAGAACTGAACCCAGGTCCTCTGGAAGAACAGCCAATGCTTTTAACTTCTTAACCAGTAAGCCATTTCTCCAACTCAGAGATCCATAACTTGTTGAAAGAATTTGTATAGCTTTCTTTTTAATTTTATTTAATGTGAAACAGATTAATACATTCCTTATTCCTTGCATGATAAAAGTAGATAAAGAAAGGTATTTCTGATGAAAAGTATTGTTAGTCCACCTCTTGAGTCAGAAACACCTCTCTCCTTCAAGAAATCCTTAATATTATATATAAAGTGAGGCTGCCTAACATAAATACTAAGTGTGTCAGTCTGTGTATTGACTATTTATACTACCATGTATCCCAGATGCTAACTATACAGCTGCAGGATTTAATGATTGCCCTGCTGAGTGCTTGGAAACAATCCATTATTTACTAGGGAAGTATTTCCCTAAATTCAGTCATACAAGCACCTCCCTGGTAGGTAGTCTTGGAGTTCTCTACACCCTGGAATGAATGGGAGGGGTCAGGCAATTTCTGAGATGCCCTTAGGATGTCTTTCTGTTCCTCAATATCCTGAGCTTCTTTCTAATGGCCCTAATGTCTTCAGCAGTTCCTTGGCCCCAACTTGTGCTTGGCCCCAACTTTTGCTTCAAACTTTTCTCCTGTGCTTTTTGCTTACAAGTTTCACTATAAACTTAGCTATAAGCAGCCAGCTTCTCTCATACCATTTTTTTGTATTGTTAGATTTTCCATCACTGACAAATACTTGAGGAGATCACAACTTAACAGCAAAAATTGTCATTTGACTTATACTTTCAGCCCATTGTGCCAAGGAGGGCATGCCAGGAAGCAGAAAAAGGATGCCTGCACAGGCTAAACTTCATTTTATCTGGGCAGCCTGTGGGATGGTGCTCCCTACATTCAGGGGATGCCTTCCCCCTTTGTAACATTGTGCAAATGACCAGTACAGAATCAGATATGCACTCAACTAGTCTCCTAGATGTTTCTCAATTCAGTTGACAGTGAAGAGTAACCATCTTATACGTACATACTTTTAAATGGATATATAGCTGGACCTACCTACGAAAAGGAAAATCCTTAATAAAATTCAAATCAGCTAGGTGTGATGCACGTGTTTAATCCCAGCACTTGGGAGGCAGAGGCAGGCGGATCTCTGTGAGTTCAAGGCCAGCCTGGTCTACATAGTGAGTTCCAGGCCAGCTGGGGCTGCAGAGAAACCTTGTCTCAAAAAGACTGGAAAAAAAAAAATACAACTCAGAACAATAAAGGATAACATCCTCTACAGAAAAAAGGTACATGGTAAACCCTGGAAACTGAGATACCTGTAAAACCAAGAGCTTTAAAGGTTAACGTACATGGTGAAGAGTGTGGAAAAATTACATCTCCTGGGCTTCTGAAGCAACAAGGAACCTTGCCATCTACCCATGACCCTATGTAGGATCCTATGTGAGTCTGGGGTCCAGATTTCTGCCATTCACATGTGCTGGATACCCAATCTAAGCAGTTACACAAGATGTTTTGTGAAATCCTAGTTTAAAAGTAATGAAACCATGGGTATAGTGGTGCACACCTTTACTCCCAGCACTTGGGAGGCAGAAGCAGGCAGATCTCTATGAGTTCAAGGCCAGCCTGGTATACATAGTGAGTTCTAGGCCATCTGGGGCTACAGGGAGCCCCTGTCTCAAAAAAACTTTTAAAAAGTAATGAAACCATGTCCGGATAGCCCTAAGGGGCTCTGCGTCTGATGGAGAAACTCCCCTTTTCAGCAGGGCACCTCCTGCTCTCTTCCTGGCTCACCTTGAAGTGGCCACCACAGATGCCTTATCTGAAACATGACCTCTGGCATAGAAACTACCAGGTTTTTTTCTATATGATAATCAGGCATGGTCTGACAGCCTGGAAGATAGAAGCCCACCGCCACATGTAAATAAAGCATACTAGGAGCACCTATCAACTGAGGCTTTTGCTACCGCCTCCACACTATAAATCTTCTAGTCTTTCCCCTAATAAACGGAGCTGTATCACTGAATTTGGCTGAGCTGTTTTCACTACATCTGGAGCTGTGTTTCACTGCCCCTGGGACCAGCCTGTGATCAGTCTTCCCGGAAGAAGCCGCCTTCCCGAAGAAGCTGCCTTCCGTCAGCACTCACTTGCACAGCTTCTGCGTTCGCCGTTCCTGTACTCCCCACCCTCGTGGGACGGTGGCCAACATCCCGCTGGCACAGGGGGAGCAAGCTGCCTTCCGTCAGCACTCACTTGCACAGCTTCTGCGTTCGCCGTTCCTGCACTCCCCACCCTCGTGGGACGGTGGCCAACATCCCGCGGGCACAGGGGGAGCGTCCTGCAGCTAGCCCGAGCCTCCCGCAGCTTGGCGCAGAGCCCCCTGCAAAACCATGAAAGTAAAATACAGAACTGCTTTATGGGAGTCATTGACAAAACAGCATACCCAGTGCAGAGACCACCACAAGCAAGCCTGTGAAACTGAGCATACAATTAAATATATATAGATGCCACGGGAGGAAGTAAACCAAATAAGGAACAATCAGAAGGTGCATTTATCAATATATTCAGATTTATATTTACAAAAGAGGAAAGTGGCTTTTGCTCTCTGTTTTCTAGGAAATCTTGATGGCTTCAGAAAGATTTTTCATGTGTGACTCTAAATATTGTATGTTTATCTGATGGTGGTGGTGCTGGTGCTGGTGCTGGTGCTGGTGATTGTGCTAGGATTGGACCTTGGCCCTCACATTTGCCAGGAAAACAGTCTACCACAAACCGTATTCCCAACTTTAGTATATATCCTACAAGTTAATGAAAGTGAAGCATGGTGGTCTGTACCTGTAGCCCAGCACGTGGATAGTTGAAACAGGTGGTTTGCCATGAGTTCCAGAGCCAGCCTTGACTATTTTGTGAGTATCACATCAGCCAGGGCTGCATAGCAAGACCTTGTTTCAAAAACAAAACAAGGAATAGCTGATCTAC